TTCTGAAATTGACTTCTACAGTTATAGTGTATTTGATGTTACCAAGGAACGAGATAGCATGTTCAGATTTCCTTTGGGTTAATGCTGGAAAGTTAGGATGACAGATTGCTTGGGCACAGACCTTCAAATATGGATAATTTTCATTTACATGTTCAATCCTCCATAGTCAAGTTACTGTTTATAAGAAGTCGGGATTAATTTTCTACACGCTGAATGAAGAATTCACTTCAAACTGAAATGGTGGTAAAAAGTAGTATTCTTTTGCAAGGAAATAAAAACTAGTATGAGTATTATTTTTTGCAAGCAAATAACAACTAGTATCACATCATCCCAAAGCAATACAAAAGTAGACTCGGGATGAAAGGACCAAACTGCAGTATCTTTCACGGAGCCATCATCATCTATGACATCCTGTATAGACTTCACTAGTGACTTACTGACAACAGCATCTAGAATCTGCAGGTCAGTGGAAGAACATTCAGCTTACTGGACTGAGAGACATATATTTGTACTCCCTCCGTTCCAAAATACTTGACCCATATTTATCTAGACATGGATGTATCTAGACACCAAACAAGTATAGATCCATCCGTATTTAGACAAATTCAAGTCAACTAATTTGGAACGGAGGGAGTACAGATGCCAAAAGATGCAAGAGATCAACAATGAGTAAAACTATATGAGCTTACTGTTTCCGTAAGGGGCAGTAACAGATTATATGAATCTTCATCTTGCTTCATAGCAGCTTTGATAGTTACTTGCAAGGATTCAACGAACAGCATCAGGCTAACCACTGCCATTGCTTCCTGGCCTTTAATTACGGAACCACCAGAGACACAATTTATTGCTGACTCTACCTTCAGTTAAACAGAGAATGCACAACTCAAAGAATGTATTTGTGATACTGGCATAACCGGAAAATTGGCATCTACTCCCTCCGTTCCTACATATATGTCTTTTTAGAGATTTCAGTATAAACTACATACGGATGTATATAGACATATTTTAGAGTGTAGGTTCACTCATTTTGCTCAGTATGTAGTCCATATTGAAATCTCTATAAAAGACTTACATTTAGGAACAGAGGGAGTAAGTATATAAAGCAAAATGAGACGCAGAGAACAGTGCTATAAAATATGATGATAAAACATTAAGATCAACAAACAGATAACTGAGCAAGCGTGCTTTGGTCACTATTTTGCTCACATTCATGATTTGGTACTACGTATAATTTTACGTTCATCTAGGCAAAACATAGTTACCATAGTTCAAAATGGATCAGATGTTATTGAAGAGATAATTCAAAGCCAGGATAAAATGAAACAGTAAAACACATCCTACTATATACCTTAACTAGCATGCCAAAATGCCGATCACACAGTAATGCTGTATAAATTCAATTTGATTGTAACTCTGTACTGAAGTCAGTCAGTACACGTGGCCTCCTTAGCATATTAGTACACCAAACATGGGTCCTCACCGCGACGGTATCCAGCCCGGAGAAATCCAATGCCCCACCGGAGCTGCCAAGCAGCCGCACCGCCGCCTCAGTCTCCCGGAGGAGCTTCCAGCTCCGCTCATAGCTCACGCTCTCCACACCCCACAGCTGCTTCTGCACAACCACGTCGCGCGTCAGAGGCGAGGGCCATGCATCATGAGCGATCGGGCAACGGAAGGGCTCGGAGTTACAGGGGTCTGGAGTCGACTACCTCGGTGGCTTCGCGGCCGTGCGCGGTGCCGGCGAACGAAGCGACGGCGCGGCAAACCTTGCCCCACTCGAGGAGGCGGAGGCTGCGGGCGGAAGGCGAGGCGGAGGCGGCGACGACGAGGGCGCGTAGGCGGCGCGGGCGGGGGTGGGAGACGGACGGGGAGAGAGAAGGAGGGTAGAGGAGGGAGAAAGAGGCGGAGAGGCGAAGCATGGAGGAGCTGTGGAGGGGAGCAGTGGCGGGGAGGAGCAAACGGCGCCGGTGTGTTTGGATAGAGCTGGGGTGCAGGGGCGTGGGCGAATGCACGGCCGAAGGTGTTTCCGCGGCTAGCTAGGAGACTTTTTTTTAATAACACAGAGTTATTGGTAGTTTTTATTTTAAAAAAACATCTGATTTATTCATCTTCGATCAATGCCAATACAAGGAACATCAGAAATAAACCTTTAGAGTTTGGCTTGATGTACACGATTTACGCTTGTGTGTTCATTCTTATGTGAATATTCATTTCTAAACACAGACCCATATGCTCTTGGTGAACAATAAATTTAAGAAAAATATAAAAAGAATAAAAAAATCTGAATTTTTTTGTCAACCAATACACTCAAATGCAATCTCGTTGCTGGCAAGTCTCTTTACTCGTTCCGTAATGCATCATCCCGCAACTAACTCATTAGACACATTGCTTGCAAGGCTTATAGTGATGAGCATTACCGAGAGGGCCCAGAGATACCTCTCTGATACATGAAGTGACAAATCCTAATCTTGATCTATGCCAACTCAACAAACGCCATCGGAGACACCTATAAAGCATATTTATAATCACCCAGTTATGTTGTGATGTTTGATAGCACACAAGGTGTTCCTCCGGTATTCAGGAGTTGCATAATCTCATAGTCAGAGGAACATGTATAAGTCATGAAAAAAGCAATAGCAATAAAACTAAACGATCATTATGCTAAGCTAACGGATGGGTCTTGTCCATCACATAATTATCTAATGATGTGATCCCATTTATCAAATGACAATGCATGTCTATGGTCAGGAAACTTAATCATCTCTGATTAACAAGCTAGTCTAGTAGAGGCATAATAGGGACACTCTGTATATCTATGTATTCACACATGTACTAAGTTCCCGGTTAATACAATTCTAGTATGAATAATAAACATTTATCATGATATAAGGAAATATAAATAACAACTTTATTATTGCCTTTAGGGCATATTTCTTTCAAAAGAAATATATATATATACTTCCCGAACCTATTGATCACCGTATCGCGAAGAAATTCTCTGTTCTCTTTTCTTGCTGTTTCCGGTCAGATTTATCAAGCCAGGCATCATGTCTTCCTGCTCCTCCAACAAAATAGAAGAAGATGCTTGGTTGGTGAAGATCGAGATGAAACGGGAGGAGCCTGCAGACGCCGTCAAGGGAGACAAGGGCAAGAAAGCTACCTTAGATCCATCCCCGGTGGCAGCACAAGCACTGCTGGCCGAGGAGGAGGAAGAGGATATCCTTAAGCCCTACCTTACTCACCTTACTCCTGCTGAGATTGAAGCTTTTCGCGACATTGAAATAGTTCGCATACAGAATAAGTATCTCACTCGCGAAAATATTCTACATCAAGAGCATATTATCCATCTCCGGAGCGTCATCCGTCGATTGGAGAATCTCTCGATCCTTAAGGATAGGATCACTTCATCATCACCATCATCTTCTTCACCACCAAAAGAGAACTGAGTATCGGGTATGGGCACTCCCCTTGGCTTCCGCCAAGCTTGGGGGAGGTGCCCCGGTATCGTATCATCCCACTATCTTTTTGCCTTTACTTTTTTAGTTCGATCATTTGCTTTAGATGAATAAAAGTTTAGTTCGATCCTTTCTTATTTGAGAGTTTGCTTAGTGATCTATCCATGTAATCATGTGAGTTATATAATAAAGTTTAGTTTGATTTTTTGCTTTCTTTACTTTCATGTTGAAAATAAAATAAAATAAAGAAAGAAAGAAAAAAAGAAAGGAAATAAATAAAAGAAAGGAAATAAATAAAGAAAAGATCATGTACTAATCCTATGGTAGGTGATGACACCACATAAGGAAAAGTATAAGTAGAAAATTTTATTAGAGATTGACAAACATAGCATTAGTCAATGATGCAACTCATGAAAGAATCAATAAGGGAAGAGAAGATTCACATATAAATATACTATCCTAGAAATCTTTTGTGATTGTGAGCCCTCATCAAAATATTATATGCCAAAATTGTTGACGTTGGACAAGGAAGACAACTTAATGGTTTATGTTTATTTATATTCACACAGAAGTCATATTGTCATAGGTCCTTCAACATGTGGGGCTTTCCCCCTATCTTTGCTAGCCAAAAATTCCGCACTAAGTAGAGATACTACTTGTGCATTCAAAAGCCCTTAAACCCAACTCTTATTTTCAAGTGTCCACCATACCATACCTACCAAGCTCCCCACTGCTTCATCGCGGCCTTGCCTCTCCTCCCGTGCTCGACGCCACGGGCGCACACAAGGGCGCCTCCCATGCCCATCGTTGCCCGCTGCTGCTTCGTCCGCCGACCTCGGCCTCCAGCCATCGCGCACCGCCTCTGCCTCCGGTGGCCGTGGTGCCTGATGACCCACAAGTATAGGGAATAAAATTTAGCTCTTTTCGATAAGTAAGAGTGTCGAACCCAACAAGGAGCAGAAGGAAATGACAAATGGTTTTCAGTAAGGTAATGTGTGCAAGTGCTGAAATTGTAAGTAGCAGAGTAGTTTGATAGCAAGATAATTTGTAACGACGAGTAACGATAGTAGTAGCAAAAGTGCATCATGGTAGCCCAATCCTTTTGAGGCAAAGGACATGCCAAAACGGTCTCTTATGATAAGCAAAGTGTTCTTGAGGGTACACGGGAATTTCATCTAGTCACTTTCATCCTGTTGATTCGATTTGTGTTTGCTACTTTGATAATTTGATATGTGGGTGGACCGGTGCTTAGGTGTGATGCCCCAAGACCGGAGCTTCAAATGCCTTCCAGGGTTTCCGAGATTCGTTGTGTGATTTGTTTCTGCCTGTTGCATTCATCTTTGCATCATGTGCTTTGCATCATGTCATCCTGCCATCATGTCATTTCCTTTCTTAACTCAACTAAATAAATGGCATGGATCTTTGATCCATTTAAATCAAGGGAATTCACATGATGATTCTCTTTATAACATATCCTCCCGATATTAGGGAGCTATATTAAATATTCCATTTTCGGAATCACCCATGAACACACTTGCAAATAATCACATGCCTTTTCTCGCTTCAAGTTTGGTCCCCAAACTTTGCTTATATTCTTTCATCATTTTCCGGAGCTCCACCAAAAATCCGAACATTTTTGGACCTTCCTAACCCTCACTTCCTATTCGAACCATTTGAATTTAAATCAAATGAGTTTGAATTTAAACTTTCAAAAATGCCCACTCCATTTTTCTTGGAACATGCGCATTTTTGCGAGTCTAGGAAATTTATTCCCGTGCCCAAACTCTTTCTCTACCTTTTTCTTTTCTTCCCTTTTCTTCCTCTTTTTCTGTTGTTTTTGAATAGAGCAAATAGAGGGAGAGAAGAGCCCAACCTCTTAGGCCTGCCAGGCCTGCCCTTTTGCCTTAAGGCCCAGCTGACCCCCTCCTCTCTACTGGGCCGGCCCCAAGGCCACCTTCCCCACTAACCCTAGCACCCCTGGCCCGATCCCCTCTTCCCTCGTACCCTTCCACCCAGCGCCGCCAGGGAGAGCGCTGCCCGATCCCATCTCGCTCGACCTCCTCCTCCCCCCTCTCTCTCTCTCTCTTGCCGACCCCCATCTCTCCCTCCAGCGCCCCTCACCCTCCCTCCTCCTTCGGTCCAGGGAACCAGGCCAGAGCCCGTCGGCCTCCTCGCCGTCGTTCACCTTCGCCTCGAGCTGCCGGAGAACGCCGCCGCGCCTCCTGCCATGGCCTCCTCCTCGCCTCGAAGCCCCGCGCCCTGGGCTTCTTCCTCGCACTCGATGCCATGGCTGCCTTTGTGCGAGTCCCACCTGCGTCTCGCCCCGCCTCCATTTGGCTCCCTCGCCGGAGGCCACCGCCGCGGCCCTGCCGGACATCGGCGACCCGGAGCGCGACGTCTCCGACCCCACCTCCTGCTGTGGGCCAGTTGCTGCCGGCGTCCACCTCCTCGGCCTTCCATCTTCGCCGCGGCGCCATCGCCTCCGATCTGGCGACCTGCGCCCAGGACGGCCCTCCTTTGCCCGGATCCCGCCGGACCAGCTTCCCGTGACCTCCTCTGCCTTCGATCCGGCCGCTCGCCACTGCCTTCCCCCACTGCTCTAAGACACCAGGTCGGTCGCCCGCTTGCGCCGTCGTTCTGCTTCGCTGGAGCAGACGACCAGCGCCGCCCTCCATGCCCATCATGCCGTGCTCGTTGCATGCCATACCGCCCCGTGGATTTTGTCAGAGTTCCACTACGACCCGTGAACGCCTTGTGGATTCACCAAGTACATCTATCGCCGTTTTCGGAATCACCAAGAACGCCAAGTTCCCCTCCAAACGTGAACGACTACACCCGGTGATGGGACGAGTACCCCGACAACGTGTACCACTATGCCCAAGTTCCATTACTGAAGGCCACGAGTACAACTACGTCCACATTGCGTCGGGTACGACTACCGTCGCTTGGGTGCGACGAAACACCAAGTACCACGACGACCATCGACATGTACCCCTACACCGCACCGTAACGCCGAGTACCTCGCCGTGACCCCGAACATCTACGGGAACTTGTGCGACTATAAACGTGAACAACTACCGTCGTCGTGGATCCGACAAGTTTGCAAGTGCAACAACTTCCTCTACGACCGTCCCGAGAACGTCTACTTCCCCTTCATTGCACCGAACTCGACTCGCTTCGAAAATGCACCCTTGAAAGGTCTATCCGCCGGAACGATGCCGTGGACCGTATGCATGTGACGTGTTGTATGAGATGCATGTTTGGATGTTGTATCCGCCCGTGAACGTTAGTTGTTCCCTCGTTGACACCGCAGTCGAACCATGGGAACCCGGTATCCGGGAGCGCCCCACCATCTTTTGCACGCATCCTCACACTTCACCTTTGCATCGGTATCTCAATCGAGTACCGGAATCGGAACGTTGCCGTGGCACCGTTACTGTTATCGTTGCCGTGGCACCTCCCTT